CTAATACTAACCCTTACCCAGTAACCCTAACCTAACCCTAACCTAAACCCTAACCTAAACCCTAACCTAACCCCAACTTATTTTAAAAATTGATATAAAAACGGAAACCTTATTTTGAAGTATACTATCTAGCAATTGCCGTTCGCAATGGTCTAGCAAACAACGAATTCGATTAAATTTCCCCATTTCAGCGTTTTATCCCCATTTCAGCGTTTTATCACAATTTCAGCGTTTTACCCCCATTTCAGCGTTTTATCCCCATTTCAGCGTTTTATCCGCATTTCAGCGTTTTAGCCCCATTTCAGCGTTTTACCCCCATTTCAGTGTTTTACTCCCGTTTCAGCGTTTTACCCCCCATTTCAGCGTTTAATCGCCATTTCAGCGTTTTACCCCCATTTCAGCGTTTTATCCCCATTTCAGCGTTTTATCACAATTTCAGCGTTTTACCCCCATTTCAGCGTTTTACCCCCATTTCAGTGTTTTACTCCCATTTCAGCGTTTTACCCCCATTTCAGCGTTTTATCGCCATTTCAGCGTTTTACCCCCATTTCAGCGTTTTACCCCCATTTCAGTGTTTTACTCCCATTTCAGCGTTTTACCCCCATTTCAGCGTTTTATCGCCATTTCAGCGTTTTACCCCCATTTCAGCGTTTTACCCCCATTTCAGCGTTTTACCCCCATTTCAGCGTTTTACCCCCCATTTCAGCGTTTTACCCCCATTTCAGCGTTTTATCCCCATTTCAGTTTCCGCTTTCAGTTTCCGTTTCCGCGATTCAGTTTCAGCGTTTTATCCCTACCCTCAACGTACTGAAACAAGAAAACAAAACTCGCAGTCTTTGCTATTGCCTTCCCATAAAGAAACCAAAAATCTTTTAAAGAAATATCGATAAGTAGATAGCAAACTCTTCACTGTGGGAAAACGAAGTATTGCAACGATTGGACGAGAAAACTCCAAATATAAACATGAACAAAAAACTTTTATTGCGGCAAGTTGATAGTTCAAAGGTTAAATTAGTGGAATTCCCAAGTTATACGAAGATACTACCACAGAATACATACCGGACCAGAAGTGACTAACTGCTATGATGAAGGCCTATGATTTGATGAAGCCAAAATAGTTTTTCCGAGTTATGAGCAGAAATACTTGACCCCAAACATCGGGCTATATATCAAATTGAAGCTATTGAAAATTGCTATTCGGTGTGGAAATTTCAAGACTTCAGCGAAAAGAAAAATCTTTAAAAAATACAAAAACAACTGCAAAACGGCAAATTATCGGTAATTATGTTTGTAGTTTTTCAATATTTCCCTTTTAGCTAAAGTCTTGAAATTTCTACACCAAATAGAGTTTTTCAATAGCTTCAATTTGATATATAGCCCAACGTTCAGTGTTGAGTATTTCTGCTCATAACTCAGAAAAACTAAAATGCACTGGCTTCAATTTTCCCCCCTGAGTTAGCCTTCCAGTTTATTTATAGTTCAATGCTCCTATGTGTTTTGGCTGCAGGAAAACGTCCGAAATTTTTTTACGTGCTATGACGCCATCCTGGAGTGCACCCGGCACTTTGTACCTATGTTTTCGTATGAAAAACTTCCGTGTGCACTCCAGGATGGCGTCATATGATGCGTCAGCACTCGTAAAATTTTGGACAAAATATCGTCTGAGTGACACTTTTGGTCCTGTATCTATTCTGTGATACTACAACAAAAGTTTACAAATACCTAGCAACAGCTGACGTAGAGATAAGAAATTTCAGGACAATCCAGTTTTCTCCGGTTAAAAATTAAGGTTATCCGACGGATAGCTATCCACCCTGCTATCCGTGCTTCGTACAACGCATTTTTATTCGGCAGATAGCTATCCATTGGATAGGACATTTATCCATTGGATAGGACTTATCCACTGGATAACTTATCCACCTTTCGTACACCGGCCCCAGAGCAATTTTTTGGCAAATTTTAGCAATATTAAGCCAAAATCAAAATTTTTGATAATAAAAACACTTTCTAATGTTTATTTCATGATGATTATCCACAGGAGCCCATCACGTTACGACCCCCTCACGTTACGACCGCGTGTTGCGGCTAATGGTCAGCCCCTTAACTTAGTATTACGTAGTCTACGTACTTGGGTTCTGTACATGTGTTCAACCATAAAAACAAAATGGCGTCCTCATTTTTAAAAACTTAAATTGCTAATAGACCTTATGCATAATGACGTCACAAGGCTTGATGCCCGCGAGGAATGCTGGTCTTGGTAGTCATCGCCAGGAAAATTTCGACAGTGGCCATTTTGAATGTTTAATTTTCCCGGGCGATGACTATTAAGACCAGCATTCGTCGTGGGCATCAAGCCATGTGACGTCATTATGCATAAGGTCTATTAATTTGACGCATGGCAGAATTAGAAGACCTAGACGAATTGTCGAATTTAAAAGAAACAGAGAGAGAATGTTACAGTTATTGTTTGATAGTAAAAGTTTTTTTTTAAATATGTTGATGCGAACGATTTATTAAAAATTTTCATGTTCAAATTTCAAGAAATTTATCTTGATTCTTGACTCTTGGCGAGAGGTATTATTTGGCAATTATTTAAAAATTTAGACGCTTTTAATTAAGTATGCGTGAAAATAATGTGAAATTTGGGTAACAAGTAGGTGTAACTTTTGAAGTTTAGGTAGCAACTTTTTGTATTTTTGGCAACATTTTAGCAACTTTTAGCATTTTACGCAGCAACGTTTGGCATTTTAACTGGCAACTTTTTGGCATTTTACGAGCACAATACCTACATTATTATGAGATTGCAATCATCGCATGTGCTGTGTTTAACTTCATTAGACTGAATTTGACTGCATTAGCTTGCATTTAAACGTGCACTAACACGTATTAACCTACATTAGCCTGCATTAGGCTGCACTGAGACTGCACTACTGCTCATCAATTATAATTCCATTCAGTAACATAACAATTTTGTGATTTGTACTCTTGACAGTTCATTCAATTGCCAGAAAGACAACTAATATTCTGTATTTATATGGGGTATAAATTATGATATAGCTAATTTGATGACACTCGAAATTTTTACCAAAAACACTATTGAATTGGCAACACATTTATTTAGGGCCGTAGCGACCGAGGGGTTTGGGAGGTGTAACACCCCCCTATAATTTCTCATGATCAATTTCAGGTACATTTTCACTAGATTTTCTAGACTGCGAGCAATCCCTCTATTTTCCTTCGTTTTATTGTATAGATTTTCAGGTAAATTCAGGTAATTCTCAGGGCATTAAAAAGTGAACTCTACACTCTAAAAAATAGATGTGTTGGAATAACACAACTTTTCTGTCCAGAAAACAACACATCTTTAGCTGTGTTTAAATAGCACACATTGTGTGTTACGGTAACCCACCAAAAGGTGTGTTTTATGCTTGTCCAGAAAACAACACGCCTTAAGCCGTGTTACTCCAAAAGGTGCGTTAGGAGACACGCTTAGGTGTGTTATTAGTAATCCGATGTGTGTTCAGACAGCACAACTTAAAGGTGTGTTGCTTTAGCACGTTTAGGCGTGTTCTGCATGTGCTGAAACAGCACGCCTTTACGTGTGCTAAAACAACACGCATTATAGATGTGCTAAAGCAACACGCCTTCACGTGTGCTAAAACAACACGCATTATAGATGTGCTAAAGCAACACGCCTTCACGTGTGCTGAAACAACACGCCTTTTGGGTGTGCTGAAACAGCACGCCTTCGGTTATGGCATGCTAAAACAACACGCCTTCTTGAGTATTAAATTACACGAACACGTATTTTAATTCGAATGTACACAATATCAATATGAAAACGGCCTTGTAAGGTCTGCTGTGTAATACATTAAAATATTCTACATTAGAACATGCAAATATAACAAATGAATGCAAATTGTTCATATCAGACGTTTTCATATACAGTTATTAATATGGCAGTAAAATACAACGCCATATTTGCGAGATTAACATCCATTATAATCGCACCAGTCTAGGCTTCAGTCTTTTCTTCATTAAGACATTTTTTATCTACAGATCTATCTTAAATAAACTCCAGTTCCAAATGGGATAAATATTGTTGCAATCAGATAAAGTAAGCAATTTGTAATAGAAATGTCCAATTAGGCTATTTGCCATAAACATATCAAATATAGAGTGAGGATAGTTGGCATCAAATACATCAATAACAATCTGCATGATATAAGGTTAACCAGGGCTTCCAAGAGATTTGTTGTTGTCACAAGGATAGACTTATCTTTCTCCAAACAAATGCTTTAAATTCTACCATCTTGACTTTGAACAATGGGGGATGCTATCCGCTGTGACACCGCTTCTCGTGAACAGGCCGAAACAGAATAAAATTAATTTCCAAATGTACCTATAATCGCGTGCAAAAATAATGAGGCATTTATGGGCATTTATGCGGTTGTCTCAATAATATTTGCTCCTGATTCAATCGCGTGCAAAAATAATGAGACTTTTCACATTTTTGGCCATTTTAAAGCACGTAGGCCTCCCCCCTGCCCCCATGATCAATGTTGGAAAAAGTGGCTTGAATTTTCTCTTTTCAGTCATTCACACAACATTGAATTGGAGGTGAGGGGCAATTTATGCGGTTGTCTCAATAATTTTTGCTCCTGATTGTAGATTGCACACTGAATGAAAACGATAAGTGAATGATAATCATTTGTTTTAAGATAAACCATTTGCAATGCATTGTAGTTGACATTAAAACGAGCTATACGAGTCAATATATATATGCTCGAGAGGTCTGTATATGGCTATTTATTATTCCTACTCGTGATACAGGCATAATATAGCTACCAGACAAGACAAACAACATATATCAGGGATCATCCTAAGGCGCCTCATTCTCCAAAATGGGCAGTTAAATGAGCAGTCCTAAATTGAGTTTTGGAGTTTCATATGATAATTAGGTAGATATAAATTAAGCATTCATACCGATATTAAAGGCCAAAAAAATACCAAATTTGGTTCTGAAAACACAGGAAAAGACCTTTCTGGGGTTGCCAAATTCAAAGTTTTATAGGCGAGTATCCTTCCTGACCCGCATAGCTATTCAGGCATGAAATACGTTATGAGTTCATAGCTCACAACTCCCTCACAATCTGCTCTCATTATAAATGTAGAAATAAGCAGTCCTAAATTTTCTTTGGATGACCCCTGACATATATATCCTTATGAATTATTCTTCGGTCGTGCTAAGTTCCGATACTCGACAATAAACCAGACAACCCCGAAAGTCCAGGATAAAACCAGAACCAAGCAAAACCATAACAACATAGTCTTAGTAAATATGAAAGATGCAATCAAACGGCTTACAACAAATCCGGAGTGAAGTGCGGCAAATGACGTGCCTTGGTAAAACGCTGCATCCTTTGGATCTGTGACTTTAGACAAAAGCGAACAACTCAAGGCAAATGAAAAATATGGCATCCCAAGAGAGATGTAGACCATGAGCATATATCCCTCGTCAACTCCTGACGCACTGTTCCAAGTAAAAGCAAAGTAAGTTAATATGGATATGGCGCAGACTTGCATTAACATTGAACAAATTAACAGATGGGTCTCATGGAGATAATCTGCGGCGACATAGTATAAAAGGAACACAACCATTGAAAACATCGAGCTGACAAGGAAAAGTAATTTGACATGACCAAACTGAAGATAGAAGTGTTCTTGTGCAAGCAAAGGAACGTAAAATGTTGCAGTAGTTGAAAAGAATAGACCCAAAAATACGAGGTAGAATAACAAGCAAACCGTAGAGCGAGAGCCATAACTTGCTGGGTCGCTTGAATCTTCCGTATGTAGAACATCATCGCCGTAATCATCTTCATCTGTCGTCTTCTTGGTTCCAAACTCTTGGGGAAAACATAGTGCATTTAACATTAAGACAAACCATATCAATGCCAGCACAATTCCTGGGGAGTTACCAGCATCAATTCTCCAGCCTAAAATATTGACATTGAATGTCAAAAAAACACTGACTGTTGGACCAAATAGCGATCCTAACGTAAACATTCCATCCAGAATAATAAAAACTCGTGCACGATATTTCTCTGGTGTGTATAAGATCACTTGACCGTAATATACGCCAGCAGACCCATCGGCCAATCCACTTAATAATCTCCCAGCAAGGGGGAAATAGGCCGAGACGGGGATTGAATATATTATATAGGCAGCAGACTTCATGGCAAAACATATGATGATGATACGTTTAATGTTTCCAAATCTGTCAGCCAATCTTCCAACGATAGAGCCAGTAAGAAGAGCGGCGACTGGGAAAGCCATTAAAACAAGTCCAAGGAATGTGATTGTTTGTCCAAGAGATTTGATATAATACCATGCTGACGGTGCAATGAAAAATTCCTCGGCACCATCATTGAAAAACCGAAGAGCAATAGCACAAAATATCCATGGTCTCAGTGAAGTAAACTGGAACTGCATTTTGGCACTGAAATTATGCTATAAAAAAGACGGAAAAATGTTAGATACAATGTCAAAAATATTGGGCAACGAAGCACTGAGAAAACGAAATTGAAGGTGTCACTATTTCAAATACGATTTTTGGTATCTGTAATAGTATGGTAATTATAAGAAGATCGGTTTGTGCAGTTAAAGCTCGACTTGGTAAACGTTTACTTTCAGCTGTAGATACGGTATACAGCTATTTCAATTAAGGTTGTCCACGAGCAAAGCGGAAAAGTCGAATACGAGCGCGAAAGGCTGCTGGGAATCGCATTAATTTGTTAGCGATTCCCAGCAGCCTTTCCTGCTCGTATTCGACTTTTCCGCTTTGCTCGTGGACAACCTTAATTGAAATAGCTGTATATCATTAGATGAAGTGTAAATTTGTTTTCCTTTCTTTTAGCCACTAAAATTCGTCTAATATCATTATATCTGTCCGCAAATGTTAAAAGTTAATAATAATGAAGTTCATTTTTGCAAGGATACCTTAATTTCTTCTTAGAATGATGTAAACAATTATTACCTACGCCGTAAATGCTATTTGAATTTTGCCTTTTAACGTATTCTCGGCTGAAAGCTTGAAGAAATCACATGCATCTCTATAATTTACACTCTTTTCTGCAGTAGCGCGCTCGTTCGGGCAAGATATCGGACGCTTGCCTATAAAAATCCCATGGGATTACGAGAGCACGCATGCGCTCCTTACTCCCTTTTGACCCATGTAAACTGAAATTTACGAACATTTTCCCTTCTTTGTGAAACATGTATTCGCGCTTTACGAAAAAAATTATTTGATTTGCTTTTGCTTTACGATAGTCTAGTGTTGTAACTTAGTCGATTCATTGACTTGGAATCTAGTTGACTCCAGTCATTATTTTATTAATCTCAAGTACTTGACATGTCATGAATTTTTAATGTAGAAATACACATATGAAAGCACACAACTTTCAACAAACCTACATCAGAATTGTACTAATGCTGTTTTAGAAAGATTTAAATATTAAGAAATATATGAAATACGTCACGACGTTCTGTTGATATAGTCATAAATAATGCGCATGGCCGGTACCCTTTTGATTCTATTAAGGTACGGAAAAGATAGTCGGGCAAGTCCTATTAATGGAATACTGGCAAGCATACAGAAGTACGGATTGGATACATGTGGTGTATTAAAAAGAGCGCTAGCACTATTAAATTTATGGAAATACTCAAAACTACTACTTTGGTATTAAGATTTTCAGTAATGTTTTTCCTTTTTTTCTAGATCTGAGCCAGATTTTCACCAAGGGCATATAAATAGTATTGTTATATAGTTAGTGTCAAAGTTCAATTTTTTTGTTTGCTGATTGGTCAAAACCGTACCACGTGCCGGCCCACAAAACGTCATGTTCACTGCATGCTTTTCCAAGGAGGCAACCGGTCAACAATGAAACATTTATTGACCGGTCAATAATAAAATGGGTGCAATATGCATGCGTGTCAACCATGAAGTTCCAAAGTTCATTTTTTCCACTTTTGGTTTGAAATTAAGTTCACTCCAATAACCGGTGAATTATTCATACTTTGAGACTTATATACTATATAACAAAACACTTATTTACCGAGACCTCGGGGAAGCCGTGTATTTTGTGGCCCCTCGACCGCCGTTGTTGCCCTTGGCTTCGCCTCGGGCAACAACGGCGGTCTCGGGTCCACAAAACACACTGTTTCCCTAGGTCTCAGTAAATGAGTGATAATTAATAACTACGCTAAATACTTCAATACAGACAATGGGTTGCAATAATTTGCAGAACGGTTATTTTCTTAGAAGTTTATTTGTTTTATGTTTTTGGGGAGAGGGTGATTGGTTGGGTGCGCGGGGGGGGAGGGGGGGGTACGAAACATTTCATCTCCTTTAAGGAGGGGGGTATTAAATATTTTCCGACGCTTTTCGGGGAGTGCCAAATTTTATGGTAATATTTTGGAATACCTTCCAGTACACATAGTTTATGACCGGTCCCTAATTTCATCGCATTTTTTAGTGATAGAATCCAATTTTTTTGTGATTTGTTGAATATCTTGCTTAAGGAATACTTCCAGATCATCATATTTTTCGCTCATAAAGACAACAGCCTCTGCTCGTTCCTCGGAGTGAGTTCGTTCAATCGTATCTTCTGCTTGTTTCGCTTCAGCGGTTCTGTTTGACTTTGATGCTGCAGAGGTTTGTGTTTTCAAATCTTCGTTTATCTTATATAGTAATTGGCTCTTTTTAAAGCCGTTGACTCGAGTCGAGTCATTTTTTGTATTCCAGTACGTCGCAGAAAATTGCACTGCATGGAAATGGCCTCATTCCGTGAGGTGGATTCCGGTTACAGACGAACAAGTTTTTATATGACAAGTTTTATTTGTCAATTGCACGTGATATATGTACAAAACATTTTCTACGGCAACTGTAAATCGCTGACCAGTTAGCTGCATGCAAGTACTCAAATTACTTTCCCATTTTTTTTGTTGAGACAGACAGACCAATTGGTATTTTTCTTGCAAGTTGAAATCCAGCTTTTAATTAATTAGATTTCACCGAAAAAAGGTTCGCTTCGCCAGTGATTAGAAGTCGGTTCTACTCAGTGGTGTCAAGTAACGAATTAAATGTACTTCGTTACTGTACTTGAGTACCATTCATTACCAGAAATATGGGACAAGATGGCGACGGACATGCGCACTTTGACCAAATATGGCGACCAAATATTACTATAAACTATATGGGAGTTGATCAAAATATCAAATTTTAATATACTTTGTTTAAATATTTCATGGTTGCGGAGCTCGATTATAGTAGCGACACCTCTGTAGCGACACCAACAAGCAATATTTCTAAACAAAAATCGCTAGTATTGCACCGCGTCTAGCAGGTTCCTGAGAATGTTGTATTTTTACACGCAATTTGATGAATTTCATAGTGTAATTTATAGTAAACGTCTGACACAAGAGGTAAATATCCGACGAATAGACCAACATCCATTCGGGCGATGAAAAGTGCGGAGCTCGCAACATATTTAATGATGTCCAAACTGTTAATTTAGCTAAATAAATCCGCTGTAATTCCCAGGGAAACTGGTTCCCGAAACGTTTAAAAGTTCGCCTTTTACGGTTCTTGTATGTCGCCATTAGGCCATCTTAATATCCGAAAACGACAAGTTTTAATACAAATTTGAGCTGTTTCGAGCAGCCATGTTTGTTGTTTATTTTAAAAGACTAGATCCCAGGCTCTCACGTAAAAACACAGGGATATTTTAGGATTTTTTAGGATATTTGCCAACCTCGTCCCCAGGGTCTTCTTCGTGCATGGCGCGTGAAAAATGAGAAGACCCTGGTAAAGGCTGTTCTAAACTGCGTTGTGATTGGTTTATACATTTGACCTTGAATGTGCTTTGAGGATGTTGTTATAATGAATATGATTGGTTTACCGCTAAATAATTCTTGTAATGAGCCCTACGATTGGTTGCATAATTTACAAGGATTTTCACAACAATAATTTGTTTGTAGTAAAATGCATGCTTCGCCAAGGCGCGAAGCTCGTTTCTGGCAAATATTTTCCAACTTTCAGCCTAATATCAGGCACAATATATAATGGAAATCGTAGTGTGAATATAGACATCATTTTGGTACTTCAAAGTTGAGACAGCTTATGTTCACATCGTTATCGAAGGTATGAATATATACACACACATTGTATGATCAGACAAACCACAGAACCATTTGCGTTTGTGACGTTTAGTTCCTCTCAAATACTACCACTTGTTTAACTAGTACGAAAACCTCTTGTCTGCTTCATGTGACAGTTTAATATCAGTCTCAGATGAATATGCATTTTTATAGCAGAAATAGAGGCACAGAACGATGCCGTTTGTATAGCTTAATTGTTACATGTTTAAAAATTATAATAATAAAATAA